GGGAGGAGCAGTACGGGAAGAGAACCTAAGCAAACGTTCATTTTGACTTACTGTGAAGTGTTACTGTGTCTTCATAGTTCCCTGAAGATTGTACAGTTTTTATATATGTTATCTCTTTTAAACTTCCCACCAACCCTGCCATCTGCACTTATAGATGAGAAACTGAGGCACATTTGGAGAGTAGGTAAGGACACGGAGACTGTGACATCCCTGTCCACCATCTTCCCCTGTACTCCCTCCTGCAAAACCACTGTCTGCTACCAACCACTCCTGTGGTTCTTGCTGATGCAAGGAAGGTGGTCCACACCAACCTACTTTCCATGGCCCACCAAAGGTGGGTCTTCAACGGGAAGTCACCCAGCAACCTTGACCAAAGCTCCGCATTGCTTTTCTATTGACTTTGCAGCACTATTCAAGATAAGACCATTTCGATCCTCGCAGTTTTCATCTTTAAGGAGGTGGTAAGCCCTTACCCTTCATCTGTCACAAGCACCCAGGTTATCTCACACTCCCAGGCACTGCCTTTCCTGCTCTATAGTCTGCATCTGTCTTAGCACGGTTTAAGGATTTTGTAGATGGGAGCCTCATGTGAGCCCTTGCCATGGAGTCTCACTGTCCCCAAGTGAATGGAGACAGCCCGAGGGGGTGGTGTAGAGGAAGTGGAGGATGCCACAAAGTGGATGTGGTGATGGATTGATTGTTCATTGCTCAATGTGTCAGTTTGAGACATGACCAAGAATGAGCTCTCCAGAGATTTCCTCATTGACCATGTCTGCAGGCTTACCCTTGCCCTCTCTCTCCAGATTTAGACAAGGACCTAAAAAGCAAGTAAGAACTGAAACTGACAGCAGCTGTGCACGCACCCGCTCTTTACCCCTTTATCCCCAAAGACCAATATTTTCCTGCCACCAAAGGCAAGCACTACTTTCCAAACTTCACTGATCAAAAGTCTTTTTTCCTAGAGCTTCAGCAAACGTATCAAGAACACAGAGAAATGGGACTTCGGGAGAACCTCCCGTCAGAGCACCACCCTGACTAGGCAGCACATTACGGCAGCTGCGCAGGGTGGAGAACAGATGGCTTCTGGGGGATGGTGGCTACGGTCAGTCTAAGTCTGTGTCTGTTTCTTTCAAGTTTCGGACAACAGTCGGGGAGTAAGAGGCAAACACTCTTCTTCCCCACTCTGCCTGGCTACTCCTGCACCTGCTCCAGACCTCAGCTCCCTGCAACTTCCTCAGGGTCTCTCTCCCGATGGGCTGCTCACACCTCTCCTGCCATGCACTCTGGCTCCAGTGCTTTTCACAATCGTCATTGTGCCTGTGTGATCAGTTGATGCGTCATCCCTGAAGGCAGGGGACATGTTCCCAAGCTGTGGGCTCTCCTGCTTAGAAGACTCCTAGAAGGACTGGGGTTTTCCAGATGAGGTGGCAAGGATGTTAAGGCTATTTTGAGAGGTCAATGTTAAAAGTTCAGTGATAGCAATCTGCTCATGAAAAAGTCTTTAACATCAACAAGTCAAACTTAGGATGTAGCCAAGAACTGTTGGGAAATGTTAAAAATTTAAATTCACTTGATAACAATAAATTAAAATAGGCAGGATTTAAAGGACACACACACACACACACACACACACACACACACACTTCTGTCACTTTCTTTGTAACTTCTGACCAAAGTAGTGCTTCCAAAATTACACTGCAAACACCAAAGTTTAATCAGTATTGGGCCATGCAGGATGGTTTCTCAAACTGTGGTCTGCAAACCATCCTCCTGTGTGATTTTGTAAAACTGAGGATCCTTGAGCCTCACCTCAGGCCCTCCAAATAAGGGTCTCTAGAGGGAGGAAGAGGAATTCCAAGGACCTATTGAACAAATACTCTAGTTGATTCTGACATGCATGAAGTTTAAGGGTGAGACAAAATAAAATTGAAACACACACACACAGACACAACTGTATAACCATGTGGTCCATTCATGCTGTACTGAAAGAAGTTTCTATTGCCTTTATATTTCAAGAAGGGACACAAATCATAGTTTTATGGAGTCCTTATGCCATTCATTAAAGCTCAGAAAAGCAGCACTTATTCTTAAGATATAAATGACTATATAGGATTCAAAAATTATAAACTAATACAGGATATTCTTTTCAATGTACTTACTATGTGTTGTGAGATGGTCTGATTCAGCGGCTGAAAAGAAATAAAAGAAAAATCAGACACATGTATTTCACCCACAGGAATCCTGACCAAAACACCCACCTTTGAACCAATACAGTAAGCCATGAAGTAGAGCTGTGGCAGCTACACATAAGCCACCATCAACAGATCTATAGTCTGTTCTGGAAATGGAATCCAAATTGATAACAATTTCATAAGTCTTTAGCGTATCCAAGGCAAAATGCAAAACTAGCCCTGGAAATGTGGTGATTAAAAAAAAAAGGTTCTCCAACCCAAATGCCCATCGAGATAGACTGGATAGGGAAAATGTGGCACATATACACCATGGAATATTATGCAGCCATCAAAAATGATGAGTTTGGGTCCTTTGTAGGGACATGGATGAACCTGGAAACCATCATTCTCAGCAAACTGACAGAAGAGCAGAAGATCAAACACCGCATGTTCTCACTCATAGGCGGGTGTTGAACAATGAGAACACATGGACACAGGGAGGGGAGCACTACACACTGGGGTCAGTTGGGGGGAAATAGGGGAGGGACGGTGGGGGGGGGGGAGCTGGGGAGAGATAGCAAGGGGAGAAATGCCAGATGTAGGTGATGGGGAGGAAGGCAGCAAATCACACTGCCACGTGTGTACCTATGCAACAATTTTGCACGTTCTTCACATGTACACCAAAACCTAAAATGCAATAAAATAAATAAATGGGGGAAAAAAAGGTTCTCAATATCTTAAAAATAAGTTTAATAAAATGCTTAGTAATAACTTATGCATTTGCTCCTGTATATTTCCTGCTGAAGATAATTTGTTATTTTACTAAAATACAATTAACCCTTCATCATGGTAGAAAAGCAAATTAAGCTTGTGCACAAATGTGGGACTCACTGCTTTTCTTATTTCTTTGAAAAAAATTAGCCCATCTAGCTTGCATGTATGGGCCTGAGGAGCTGAGTTTGAGAGTTTTGAATTAATTTGCTAGCTTTCAACAAACTGAATGAAATTGCTTAAAGTGCAGATTAGCAATTACTTGGACATAAATTCAAAAAAGTCAAGTGATGTGTTGACAAAAACCAGGGGAGATGAAAATGCCTTTTTTTCCCATAAAATGACAGAGATAATCATTTATCGAGAATCACTCTCTCTCCTAAGGTTATTGGGAGAATTAAAGGAGAAAATGTAGATGAAGTTCTTATCCTACTAACTGGCACACAGTCAGCACACAACAGTATTAGGTACTAGAGTAATATCACTGATGATGATGACTGATTGCACAATTTCTACCACTCATTGTTTTAAGCATTTCACCTATATTATGTCATTTGGTCTTTGTGGCAACTCATGATGGAAGGGTTTTTCCTCTTGGCTTACAGAGATGTAACCTGAAGCACTTAGAGGTAAAATAACTTGCCTAAGATATTAGTATTATTTCCATTTGCCTTTTAGAGAAACAGAGGCTTAGGGAGGAATAGGTATAATTGCTATTATTTCTCTGCCCTGTGCTACACATTTGCATTATCTCTTGGAGGCCCACCTGAGCAGATGACACCAGCATCTTCACTGTGGCCACAGTTATGGGAGAGCCAGCCATTGTGGGGGCAGCTCCACAGGTAGGACTCATATCCTGAGCAGCGCATGTCATCCAGGACAATCGGCCCTGAGCCTTGGCCAAACCGGGCATTTCCTGGGGCGGATACAGCCCAGCCACAGCCAAGCTGCCTGCAGACCACATTGGCATCATTGGTGTCCCAGTAGTCATCACACACGGTGCCCCAGGAATCCTGGTACCGGACCTCCACCCTGCCCTTACACCGGTCACCTCCATTCACCAGCCTCAGGGCCAAACCTAGAGGGAGATACAGAGATTTCACTTCTCTATCCCTTGCCCTACACTGTGAGCAAAGACCCCAAAAAGACCTGACCATCTGACACCCAGATTCCTCAGCATGTTTTCCTGTTTGAACGTAAGCTCAACTTTCCTGACTCTTCAGTAGAGTTTGGCCAACCTTGTGTCTTGAGGGGGCCCGTGTGGCATCATCAATTTCAGGTCCCCCTTGCTTCTGGCCTGACCCCTCAAGTCACGTTCCAATTGTGAAGAACCTGTCCGGCCCATGGCAACTCCTTCTCTCACCAATGGAAGTGCCCCACATGAGCACAGCACTGTGATGGGAATTACTCTGGATGCGCTACCTTCAGAAAACAAAGTAGCCTGCCAGGTGTCACCGGGAGAGCTAGGCTTGTTTCTAAGGTGCCTATAACCCTGCACTTCACACTTCCGCACTCCTGATACCTCTTCTCCTCCCTCCCTCCCTCATGCCCCAAAGTGCCAATTTTGAAAGCCTAATCATGGCAGATGATTTGGGGCATTTGCTAACATGGAAACCTCAGTTCTTGCACCAGAACTTTACACATACCATCTTAGCTAATTCTCAACTCTAACCCATGGAGAAACTGAGGCTCAAGAAGGTTACCCACTTGCTAGTCAACTGACTTGCAAGTGACAGGGCAGGGCATGTCCTCAGGCCATTGCTATTAATCATTTCATGCTTCTGCCTCCTGCTATATAATTTTTTTACATTTGAAACATTTGACCCAACTCATGGCCTATGCTTTTGCACAAACAGGCACTCACATACCCACACAGGACTCTAGTAAGATGAAGAAATACTGAGTAGAGGCAGTTACCATTTGAAGTACTAACTGGAACAGAGTTTTCTTCTGTTGCAAATCCTAGAAAAGAAGAGGAAAAATAAGGGATTATATATATCCAAAAGTCCTCAGTTAGATGCTGCTGTACTCATGTGCCTCTGCTGCCCTGGTGACTGGGTACAACCCCCCTGGACACTCAGTGGGGCAGACTGGGGGCAAAGATCAAAGGCAGGAGGTGTGCATAGGCAGGGGTGGGGATGGAGGCCCAGGGCCTGTCAGCTGGAAGGAGGGAGGGGCTGAAGGGCCCAACCCTGGCAACCCCACCAAAGGAGGTTCTTCCTGTCCTATGTCTAAAACCTAGCAGGGCCTGGATGCAGTGTCTCACATGTGTAATCTCAGCACTTTGGGAGGCCAAGGCAGGAGGATCACTTGAGCCTAGGAGTTGCAGACCAGCCTGGCAACATAGAGAGACCTTGTCTCTACAAAGACTTAAAATAAAATAGCCAGGCATAGTGGTGTGGACCTGTGGTCCCAGCTACTCCAGAGGCTGAGGGAGGAGGAAGGCTTGAGCCTGGGAGGTCGAGGCTACGGTGAGCCATGTCGGGGCCACTGCACTCCATCCTGGGCAACAGAACAAGACCCTGTCTCGTGTGTATGTGTGTGTGTGTGTGTGTGTGTGTGTGTGTGTGTGTGTGTGTGTTTATTTATTTATTTATTTTAAACAAAGCCCAGCAGAATTTTCTGCAGCAGGCCCTCCTGATTCCTTGGGGTGGCTTTAGGCACCGCAACTCCCCAGCCCCAGAGCTTAGATACAGCATTACCAGTTATCATGTGAGCCTCCTGTAAACCAGCTTCTGTGGTGTCTATCACTGTTACTGTTGCTGAACCTGCAAAGCAAAAAGGCCAAATGAGAGGTCATCTGAAAACAAGAGTTAGATCTGACACCCTTCCTAATTAAACTAAATACCACATTTTAGTTTGGGAGTTCACTGGGTTTGTCACTTGTTAATTAATTCAAACAGTGAATATGGAAGAATCTCTGACTGCACCACAAAGCATTAAAGGTCAGTGAGAAAAGAAGAAATTTGTCCAAAAAAGTAAGTCTCCGTCCTCCAGAGCTCACAGGCCACTTGGGCAGACACAATCAGGTGATCATTTGTGTTTGGCCTAATAGGGGCCCAGGGTAGAGGAGAAGTGGAAACCTCAGAGGCAGAAATTCACCGGGTCTCTCCGAGCAGGAACTACCCAGAGAGAAGTGGATATTTGGCAGGCATGGTGGCTCATGCCTGTAATCCCAGCACTTTGGGAGGCTGAGGCAGGCAGATCATAAGGTCAGGAGTTCGAGACCAGCCTGACCAACATGGTGAAACCCCATCTCTACTAAAAATACAAAAATTAGCTGGGCGTGGTGTCACGCACCTGTCATCCCAGCTACTCAGGAGGCTGAGGCAGGAGAATCTCTTGGACCTGGGAGGTGGAGGTTGCAGTGAACCAAAACTGCACCATTGCACACCAGCCTGGGTGACAGAGCAAGACTCCATCTCAAAAAAATAAAAATAAAAAAGAGAGGAGTGGATATTTTACAGAGACGTAAACATGTGTCAACAGAAAATGGGGTGAAAGTAGAATTATCATATAAAATATAGGACGTCCAGTTAAATTTGAGCATCAGATAAACAAGAAATAGTTCTTAAATATAAGTATGTGCCAAAGATTGCATGGGACACATTTATACTAAAAAACAAAAAATTACAAACTAACACCATAAAAACCCTAGAAGAAAACCTAGGCAAAACCATTCAGGACATAGGCATAGGCAAGGACTTCATGAATAAAACACCAAAAGCATTGGCAATAAAAGCCAAAATAGACAAATGGAATCTAATTAAACTCCAGAGCTTCTATACAGCAAAAGAAACAATCATTAGAGTGAACGGACCACCAACAGAATGGGAAAATATTTTGCAATCTACCCATCTGACAAAGGGCTAATATCCAGAATCTACAAAGAACTAAAACAGATTTACAAGAAAAAAACAAACAACCCATTCAAAAGTGCGCAAAGGATATGAACAGATACTTTACAAAAGAAGACATTTATGAGGCCAACAAACATATGAAAAAATGCTCATCATCACTGGTCATTACAGAAATGCAAATCAAAACCATATTGAGATACCATATCACACCAGTTAGAATGCCGATCATTAAAAAATCTGGAGACAACAGATGATGCAAGGTGGCAGAGAAATAGGAACACTTTTACACTGTTGGTGGGAGTGTAAATTAGTTCAACCATTGTGGAAGACAGTGTGGCAATTCCTCAAGGACCTAGATATAGAAATTCCATTTGACTCAGCAATCCCATTACTGGGTATATATCCAAAGGATTATAAATCATTTTATTATAAAGACATATGCACACGTATGTTCATTGCAGCACTGTTTACAATAGTAAAGATCTGGAACCAACCCAAATGCCCATCGATGATAGACTGGACAAGGAAAATGTGGCACATATACAGCAAGGAATACTATGCAGCCATAAAAAAAAAAACAATGAGTTTGTGTCCTTTGTAGGGACATGGATGAATCTGGAAACCATCACTCTCAGCAAACTGACATAAGAACAGAAAATCAAACACCATATGTTCTCACTCATAGGCGAGTGTTGAACAATGAGAACACACGAACACAGAGGGGAGTATCACACACTGGGGTCTGTTGTGGGGGAAAGGGAGGGATGGGGTGGGTAGGGAGGTTGGGGAGGGTTAAAAAAAAAAACAAAAAAAAAAGAAAAGAAAAAAATATTTTGTATCTGAAATTCACATTTCAGTAGGTGTACCGTATTTTTATTTGAGGTATCTGGTAACTCTGGATAAAAGGTACCCCAGAGGCAACAGCAGGCAGGAAATTCTCTTCACTAACCTTCAGTTAAACCCCAGCCAGGTCAACTGAAGCCCTCCATCCTCTGTAACCCACTGAGCACGAGTGTGGGTGAGCCAAGCACACTTCGCACACCTAGCAGGTTCCACTCCAATCAGCTGCATTGTGTGGTGATCTAGTGTCAAATGTGAATCCCAAACCTATTTGTGCCAGTGGCACCTGGCATGACATTAACCTAAATATGAAATAAATTAGTGAAATATGGGTGCAAAAAGAAAGATGTCTTTCTACAAATATAAGGCAGAATGCTTTGGAAAGACTGAATAAATTAAGTTGCTAAAAAGCATCAGGCCTGCACCCCACCTGCAGGCCTACCCACCTGATGTTTTTTTAGCCACTTAGTTTATTCAGTAGAAGAAAGATATATATATTTTTTTTAAAAGTAGAAGAAAGGTGTATAAAACAATAGAACTTTTGCACTTTTATTTGCTTTGCAATTGCTTTTAATTTCAGGTTCCTCTTTAGAGAAACCAAAATTAGAAATAATAGATGATGCATAATGGGTGTGGTTTATGCCAGAAAAATACTGCAGGACTACTGAAGATCCCTGCAGGGAGAGAGGCCTACATCAACAAATTAGGGAATCAGTGTATGTATTACATTGTTTAAGTTAAAACAAAACATCTAAAGTGTCTGTATCATATTTTCTGATTTCCCATTTTAAACAACTTTTTTGAGTAACCAATCAACTACCTGTCTCAGTCACATTAGAAAAGAGTTCTTCTAGAGAAATGATTCCAAACTGGGTTCCATGCAGCATCATCCAGCACCTGGAAACTTGTTGAAAACGTGAAGTCTTAGCCTCACCCAGGCTTACTCTAGAGGTGGCACTCAATGCTGTGTTTTCAGAAGCACTCCCATGATTCTAACACACTAAGCTTGAAAAGTGCTGTTCTGCAACATATGTAAAGGGAACAGTAGCAGCAATGTCATTAGGGTGGTAAGGGAGAATTCATTTACAACTACATACTGAGCTGCAGCTATAATAGATGCTCTTCCACCAGGCAGAAAGAACATTGAGATTATATGACACCTCCACTGCCCTTTGGAATTAGGCTTTAGGGGGTGAAATGCACAGGTAAGCAATTAGTAGCCATAGCAAACATACAGATAAGCAAGCAGAGCATAGCAAACTAAGGGCTCCAATGGAGGGATGTTCAGGAGCCCAGCAGCAGGTCACATTTGATTGACCCTCGAGTCAGACAATCACTGAGCTATACCAGGCAGGATGGACAGAAGGGAGCCAGGCAGAGGCGAAGGTCCAAGTTAAAATTAGCGCTAACGAAGTAGAGACACTATAAATAAACCGCTCCTTCGAAATAACCTCCTAAGAATAAAACTACAAACTATGCAAAACTTCTTGAGCGCCTCCTCAGACAGAGAAGAGCCAGGTTTCCGGATGGAAACACTGAGCATAGAAATGTTGATCGTTCGAAACTAATTCATAGGTTTCATATAATTTTTACCAAAGGGTTTTTCTTTGTTTGACTAGTTCTTTCAAAAAATAATTCTACAGTTCCTCAGGACAGTTAAATAGGCTAAAAATAACTGATAAATTCTTGAAAAATAAAAAATATCAACAGGGCAGGGTGTTAGGAAGATGGAAATGGGGATGGGAGAATCTGTGTTCCCCATGGACTTGGGAAGCAGATGACCAGCGTTCAAGTTCTAGCTCCGCCCTGTATTTTTTCTCTGAACACAGGTAAGTCAGGCGACCTCACTGGTCTTCATTTCCTCATTTGTAAAAGGGTGATTATGCTACTTCATAAGGTTATTGTGAAGAAAAATTCAGAAAACATAAGTCAAATGTTTAGTACTGTGTTTGCCATGTAACAGCACTCAAAAAATTATTTGCTCAAAATTAGTAAAATAAAGTGAGATAAAGTAAATTATAGCTATAAAAATTAAAATCTAGAAAAAAACCTAAGTCAGATATTTACCTCACACCAGAAAGCAAAATAATTTTCAGAACTAAATAACTATTTTGTAAATGCACAAAAATAAGAATAGTTACATTTTTATCTGATTCCTGTTAGAAATTTCTAGATTTAAAAATCAATAGAAGAAACTACCCAGGCGTGGTGGCTCATGCCTGTAATCCCAGCACTTTGGGAGGCTGAGGCAGGTGGATCACCTGACCTCAGGGGTTCAAGACCAGCCTGGCCAACATGGTGAAATCCCGTCTCTACTAAAAACACAAAAATTAGCCAGGCATGGTGGCGGGCACCTGTAGTCCCAGATACTCAGGAGGCTGAGGCAGGGGAATCACTTGAACCCAGGAGGCAGATGTTGCAGTGAGTCAAGATCGTGCCGCTTGCTCTGGGCAACAGAGCAAGACTCCATCTCAAAAAAAAAAAAAAAATCAATAGAAGAAATCACAAAGAAAATCAGCAGTACATTTAATTACACAAAAATATAAAATATGTGTGCAGAAGAAAATCAAAATCAAAAGGCAAACCACAAACTCGGAAAATATGTGTCATCAATATAATGCTAAAGTATCAGTACACAAAACACAGAGTTTATGTAATCAATAAAGAAGACACCAACTTTAACAAAATTTGGACAAAGGACATAAACAGATGATTCAAAGTAAAGGAGTGCAAATGGCTTAAAAATGTTCACTCTCACTATAAGCTAAGAAATGCAAATTTAACTGACCATATGCCATTTTTCCATCCAGCAGTTCAGCCAAGACTTTTGAACAGTAACTTCAGAGCTGGTGAAAGTGCAGAAATTGCTACTCATGTTTTTTACTGGTAGGAGTAAGAATTGGCACATTTCTGGAAAATGATTTAATTTATTAATTTATTTATTTTTGGGACAGAGTGTCACTCTGTCACCCAGGCTGGAGTGCAGTGGCACAATCTCAGCTCACTGCAACCTTTACCTCCTGGGTTCAAGTGCTTCTCATAGAAACAAACAAACACTGGTACCTTCCTACTAAGTTTACTCCAGGCTTTATTTGGATTTCACCAGTTTTTCCTTTTCTGTTCCAGGATCCAATCCAAGAGCTCAGATTACATTTAAGAAGCCGCATTTGGATAAAACATTAGGAAAATGTCTAGAGTAGTAACACTAAATAGCTCTGAGGCTCTGTCCACCTGCCAGACAGGCACTGCATGGGTTGGAACATAACCCCCATATAAATGAGTAAACTGAGGCTCTCAGAGTCTCCATGTGGGCAAGTGGCAGAGCAGGGGCATTTCTGGGGCCAGCAGTGGGTACCACAGCACAAACCTGGGCAAACTGAGTTTTTCTCAAGAGTTCTCATGAAGACCAGAGCTGACAGGTGCCTGCCACCTCGGTACTTCCAGTGCAAAGCTCTGTGGCCAGGCTCCAAACACTGAGTTAGATGCCATGGTTCAGTTCAACACCTCAGCTCCTTGCAAGGAGCAGCAAGGGCCAGTGGCCAGAGCTGCCATTTGAATGCTGGTGAACTTTCATCCAGATTCAAGCCCTAACCCAGCCATTCACCAGTGCCGTCTTTGGACAAGCCAATAACCGTTCTGAGCCTCAGTTTCCCCATCTGAAATGTGGAAATAATTGTTCCTAACCTCAGGGATGTTAGCAGATTTAAATAAGAGAATACAGGTCCACTTCAGAGAGCATTAATTCCCACCTCTGAGTGGCAAATACAGACACACATGTGTGCATGCGTGTCCATATGCACACACATAACATCATGGGCAAACTACAAATTACCTCAACCAAAGGGCACTGCTGCCTGTTGTTCCTTTGTCAATAAAGACAGGGCAATTCACCTCCGGTCTATAGTGGCTGATGTGAATTCCATGTCACAATTCAGAGCCAATCTGGAGGGTGAACTTGGTACTGATGAGAGCTGGGGCTGAGGATGTGGCCTCCCAGTTTCAGATGCTTCTGATGAAGGCAGGATGAGGATGCTCAGTCTCCACTCCCCCGAGGTCCTGGGCCCGGTGGCCTCCAGCCCCTCCACACCATGCACACACTGTGTGCACATGCTGGTCAGAGGGCGTGGGCCTGCTCCCTACCACCCGGATGTGAGAGCTGGGTCTGGGGGTGCTGCTTTCATGAAGACAACCTCCCAAATGAATCTGAATCTTCATAGCTTTTCCCACTGAGCCCAATGGGAGAATGAGAGTTCCGGAAGTTATCTGAAAATTAGGTGATTTTTACCCTGTCTCCTGAAATTCATGAATCTAGCAAAAGGTGACACAAAAGAAAAAAAATGGCAGTAGGAAAGATAAAAGAGAAGAAGGAAGAAAGAAATGAATAAAGGGAGGGAGAGAAACAAAAAGGGAGAGAAGGAAGGTAGAAAGAAAGTAGAAACAGAGGGAGAAAGAGACAGAAGTAGGGAGGGAAGATGATAATCGCTGCCCAGTAGCTGAAGAGAGAGACAGAGACAGACAGAGAGAGAGAGAGAGAGAGAGACAGAGACAGAGAGAGAGAGAGAAAGGGGACACTAGCTGCTCAATAGATAAAGAGAGACAGAGAGAGAAGCAGAGACGGGGAGGAGGGAGGGAGGAAAGGTAATAACTGCCTGATAGATGAAAGAGACAGGAAGATACAGTGAGCAGGGCAGGGAGAGAAAGGCAGAGACAGAAACAGAGGGAGAAGGAAGGAGAAAAGGTGATATCTGCCAAAAGATGGGAGAACGAGAGAAACACAGAGAGACAGACAGAAACAGAGAGAGTGAGAGAAGAGAAAACATAACAATAACTACATGGCAGGTGAGAAAGAAAAATAGAGAGACCAGGCAGAGAGAGACAGAGAGACAAATAGGCAAACTGAGAATCACTTGTTCCCTTCGTATCTCTGCAAAGTGCCATTGAGATGCAGCAATCAGAGTGCTTTGCCGATGACTCTCACATCTATCATCTGACACTCTAAGAACCTACAGCTATGCTTGAGTGACTGGGTTTCAAGTGTTTGTTTAAAGCTGTGCATGACACACAAACTTGGAATTCCAAGACAAACTTGGAATCTTAATGATCTTGTCTGTGCTCAATCATTTGACCTGATTTTGCTCGGCAAATATTAGCCATCAAGCCCAGACACACTTGTAGAAAGAAGCCACATAAAGGGCATTTACAGTGGGAATCTTTTCTGCCCGTTTTCATTGTGTACAAATTGTGTGTTTAGCCAATTGCTGCAAAGTCTGAGAGCCTCTTAACAGTACACATCCACCTTTCCTGAATTTTAGGGATTTTTCTAAGACCAATCAATCATTCCTTTAGTTGAATGACTTACTGAAAACACTGACAGAATGACTGGCTTTTTCTAACTACAACCATTTATATTTCTCATCCAGAAACAAAGCAAAAAAGAGCCATTCCTCCCGAACACCTGCAAACAATTACAATTATCAGCAAAGGACTACCCACTCTTTGATATAAAACTTCCCTTGAAATGGAAAGTAGTAGATAACATTTGCCATGATTGGGTCTGCAGGAGTGAAATTAATGAATATAATAATTAAACATAATACCTGTAGGTAGAACTTGTCCCCATAAAAGACATATTTCAAGGATGACCGTGGAGATCCCCATTTTGCTGGGTTCTTCTCAATTGATTAGAAGATCCTAGACATTTATAGGTACCTATCTAAAAGGAGGTGTGCCCTCTAGGGTGGTATATTTCTACTGCTATAAATCAATATAAAGGAAGTGAGGGCTTTCGGTAACAGTCGATGTCTAATCTGTGGGAGAAACTTAGGTGTGTTTGATCGATTGTCATATGAACAATCTGGCTGTTGTCCAACTGCAAATGCAGTGACATAAGTGAACCATTTCCAACTTCCTTCTAGGTGAACCTCGAAGGCTCTCAAGTGTTTCCTGAATACAGGCTTGATTTTCACCCTGCAGAGTTCAAGTTAACCTGTGGGAAGATGAAAATCAAGCCTATATTCAGGAAATACTTGTGAACATCGAAGGCTCTCAAGTGTTTCCTGAATACAGGCTTGATTTTCATCCTGCAGAGTTCAAGTTAACCTGTGGGAAGTCTGCCCCGAGGTTTGGGGCAGAGCAGGATATGGGCTGCTCAGCAAATACAGGACACGGTGCCAAAGGGGAAAGCATCTCTTTGGGATGGTTTTTCCCGGCAGGACATTCTCTCATGGGCCCCTGTGCAGTGCGCGTAACCTCACCTTGGAAGAACAAGGAGACATGAGCGAGGATGTGACCGGAGAGCAGAAGGCATGAGGGAAGGTTCCGTGGAGACCATAGGTCCGTAATAGCTTTGGCCACAGTCTTCTGGGTCTCACGCGAATTCCACAAGAGGAGCTGAGAAACACATGGCCTCACACTAAACCACCTCCAGCCATTTCACACAGTTTTGATTTCTTGTCCTTGACATGCACATTGTATGAGCTTGGCAAACCCACAAAACCTGCCCCTAACCTCCACCTACCTTGCACACAATCCCCCTCCTGGGACTTACTAGGTAAATATCACTTCGCTCTTTGTAACCCTCAGAAGTCATCACCAGACTCTGGTAATCCACTCCCTACCGCCACCACTCTACTGAGAAGGTTGCCTGACATTGATTTTTGAACCAAGACACTCTTGATGGCCAGTAACTCTTGGTTAAAAGCAGACAGCTTTCCAGGACTTGCCTCTGTTTCCTAACCTGGATGAGCTGTGGCCTGTTCCTCAGCTGGGATGCTGAGGCCATCAAATGACACTTGGCTTCTTTGCCATGCACTGTTCATCAGTCGTCTGTGCTGTATTCTAGAAAGGTACCATGAACCCATGGCCTGTGTCAGCCACCAGTCAGAATGTAGGGCTGGAGGTCTGCCTTTGGCTTCATCCAGATGAAAGTTACATTCATTCCTAGATTTTCTTTTGAATCCCACAACTCTTCTTACTGCTTCCAGGTGCCTCTTCTCCCCTTGAGGAGAACAGGCACACAGAATAGGCTCACTGTGGTTCATGCTGCCACTGTCAGCTCAGTAGCTGATAAGCCCTGGGTGACGAGAGAACAGGGTTACTCATCTACCAGGGAATGCCCAAGACCAGACACATGCTGAGTTCCTCTTAGAAGGGGATTATGATCCCTTGCTTCCTGGGGTGTTGGGCTGAGAATGATTATGCAGCTGGGTCTGGGATCCTCAGGGTGTCCACCAGTCAGCACTGCCTGCCGTAAGCACAGCAGGGAAAAATGATGGTAAGATTACTAAATATCTGTGAGCAAGAAGGGGGAAAAGTGTCCTTCTTAGACAAAAGCAGACTGCCTGGTGACAATTTCACAGAGGGTAGCAAGTATTAGTACAAGCCGCTATGAGAACATGAAGAAAAGCATCTAAATAGGATGGCAGAGGCTGTCTCTCAGAGCTAGAAGATTGGATGAGGGACAGGAGAGATTCCCCCAGCCGTGCAGGAACATCCTTCTTGAGAATTGTGTGTGATGTTTGGAACTGCCAAACTTCCCTGTTTTTGTTGTTTGGTGGCCGCACCCTTTGTCCATGGTGCTTAGCAGCAAAGGTCCTAAGACAACAAGGGCTTGTGAGCTTTCTGTTCAGTAGATACCGGGAAGAAGGAAGTGGCGAAGCCTAGCTGTCATTTCAAAGCCAGCCCAGGTGGGCATCCCAGGCGGGAAATGCGTGATGTCAGAGGAACAGGACGGATGTGGCAGTCCTAGGCATGTGGACAGAAGACAATAGGGCTGAGGGCCACCTTCGAACACCCTGTTGGCCCTCGGGCTTCACCGTCAGGTGCCCCATTTTGTCCCAAGGCCATTTTGTGGCTCACAAGACACCATTTAGAGAGGTCTTTCTTGGATGAAGAGGAGGGTTTAGGGGGAAAACCCCCTCCAGCAGCCCCTCCCAGAGGACCCTCATCTTCCCCCGCCTACTGGCTAGAAGCATCTGCTTAAACAGCACGGCATGGAAGACACAACCACAAAGTTCCATTTTATTCACCCCAAAACTACCATAAAGAGCAACAGAGAGCAAGAGAAGCCCAGTAAAGCTCGGAGACTTGGCACCCAGGCCCCATTTGCAAAGCACCTTCCCCAGGCAATTTCAAGCCAGCGGCACCCCACAGTATACTCCAGGAGGTAGGGCCAAGCCCCTAAATCCCAGCACTGGAGGCCTGGTCTTCATGGGGAAGAGCTCCCTACAGGGGTCATATGTAACTTTTTTTTTTTTTTTTTTTGACAGAGTGAGACTCTGTCACCAGGCTAGAGTGCAGGGGCACTATCTTGGCTCACTGCAACCTCCACCTCTCAGGTTCCAGCGATTCCCCTGCCTCAGCCTCCCGAGTAGCTGGAACTACAGGTGTGCACCACCATGCCCAGCTAATTTTTGTAATTTTTAGTAGAGACAGGGTTTCCCCATGTTAGCTAGGATGGTCTTGATTTCTTGGCCTCATGATCCGCCTGCCTCAGCCTCCCAAAGTGCTGGGATTACAGACATGAGCCACCACACCCGGCCATATGTGGCATTTTTTAAAGCTGCAGAATCCTTTCCTAAATTAGAATTCATGGGGAAGCCCCAAAACGTAAAACAGGCCAGTGGAAGGGTCCTGACTATGATGAGGGTTTCCCCTTCCAGGCCCCTCCCCTTAGGGCCATCTGCTGACAGAGCTGAGTACTCCCCGTGGGTGGCCAAGTCCTCCCTTCATTAGACACTGAGAGAGCCAGCAGGGACCCTGGGGCTGCCAGGCATATACCCCTGCCTGAAGCTGAGCTGGGGTCCCAAGCAGATTCCCCAGAATATCCCGCTGTTCTCCTTCAAAAGATTCTTTCTCCTCACAGACCAGTGCCCTGGGAAGCCAGAGGCAGATGGAGAGCAGGGAGGCAGCCCAGGGCTCCTCCCACCTCCCACCTCTGAGGGGTCTCTGATTTCTGAGCCAGGAGCCCTGTGACCTGACAGACAGACGAAGGGGAGAGAAGAACAGGAGCCTTGCAGGAAGGGTCGGGGCTGTAGCGCCTTCGGGTAGCTGTTGTTTGGCTTCCAGCCTCTGCGTCCCGTAATCTGTGTGACCAGCGCTCCACTTCAGGTGTCAGTATGACCCCAAACTCTAATCTTGCCCTCACTGAGTAGCACACACAATTGTCGGTCATTGTTGCCCTTGTAACAGTCTTTTGACATTGAATGTCTGATATTTATAATGTTGCTCATTTTTGTTGCTCAGAGAGCTAGTCTTCCCAAACAGTTATAAGGGCACGCCTTCCTACCCTCCTTCACTCACTCCGGGTCACCCCCCACCGCCCCACACCTCCCTGCTGTGCTTTGAGGACCAGAGTCCCATTGTCTCCTGCTGCACCTCCATAATCCCAGTGCCCCAGACAGAAAAAGAGCAGACGCTGGGTAGGCATTGGTTTTGGAGGTGGGTGTTGTGAGCAGCTCAGCCCTGCTGTCCAGGGGTCCCTGGAAAGAAGCCTGTGGTTCAGCGGGGCTGGTGATGAGCCAGTTCTCCTTCACCATTCAGCCTCCAGCTGGGGACAATGCGGTCCAGAGAGAGGAAATGACACACAGAGCTGAGACCACATCTAGAACAGCACTCACAGAAAACGCCGCCTCCCATCTGAAGGACAGATGAGCTCCATGTTCATCAGGATGCCATCCAACTGCAGAATCTTCCAGCAACAAACACAGCCCTCTAGGGACTCCTGGCACACAGAGATCCCATTGCATGCCTCCCATCTTGCTCAGAGTAAGGCTGAAAGCACTCCCATGGTTTATAAGGCCCCGCATGAGATACCCCTGCCTCTCTCTCCCGGTCTCCCACTCTAACCATCATCCAGCCCCAGGGCCTTTGCACTTGCTGCTCCCTCTGTCTGAAGACTTTTTCCCCAAATGGCCGAAGACTCACTCCTTCCCTCATCCAGAGGTTTTCTAATATGCATCTCCTCCATGCAGCCCTACTGGCTGGCCCTCCCCAGCACTCCCTAACATTCCCCTCCTCTCCCCACAGCACCCCTCACCATCCAGCCTCCTTCTATTTTACTTCTTTATTCTTTTGCCTATCTGATCCCACTAAAATGCAAGCTGTACAAGGTGAGATTTTTGTCTGTTTTATCCATTGTTGCATATTCAGAACCTAGAACAATGCTTCACACAAATAGAGATGCTCAAGAAATATCTGCAGCTAGGCTGGGCGCAGTGGCTCATGCCCGTAATCCCAGCACTTTGGGAGGCCAAGGTGGGCAGATCACTTGAGGTCAGGTGTTTGAGACCCACCTGGCCAGTATGGCAAATCCTGTCTCTACTAAAAATACTAAAAATTAGCTGGGCATGGTGGCACATGCCTGTAGCCCCAGCTACTCAGGAGGCTGAGGCAGAAGACTCTCTTGAACCCGAGAGACAAGGGTTGCAGTGAGCTGAGATCACGCCACTACACTCCAGCCTGGGCAACAGAGTGAGACTCCATCTCAAAAAGAAAAATATAGATATATCTGCAGGCTGAATTGAAAAGGTGAGCATGGGCAGATCTGGAAGAGGAGGACCAGGCCCCTTTGTACAGATGGTTCAAGTGAATTCTGCATTTGCTGAAGGATAATGCTGTTCATTCATCTGTTCATTCAGCAAACACACGCTGATGCCTCTAATGTACCAGACACTGTTCTAGGGAATGGGGGCTGCAGCCTGATGCCAGATGGACATGCTCCCTGCCCTCACAGGGAGGTAACACAGACAACAGACA